ACACACACACACACACACACAGAGAGAGAGAGAGAGAGAGAGAGAGAGAGAGAGAGAGAGAGAGAGAGAGAGAGAGAGAGAGAGAGAGAGAGAATCAAAAATACTCACCACAAACTAGGCTCTTGTATACATACTGTGTATTGACTCTTCACTGGGTGTCAGCAAGTTTCTGGGACGCTACACTGTGTAACAAACACCCCCACACATAGTAACATGAAGCTCTTCAGTATTTCAGTCTCACCCAGGCTGTCCGGTGTTTCCCATTTTACTTGTGTGTTTGTATCTGGGGGACAAGTGCCATGGCTTGTGTGTAGGGGTCAGAGGACAACTTGCAGGTTGTGTTTTTCCTCTGTAGGTTCTGGGAACCAAACTGGGGTCCCCAGACTTGAAGGCAAGGGCCTTCCCTTGCCCACCCCTCACTGGCTGTTTTCGTGCCGCTGAGGAGGGTCTTGCTCTGTAGTTCTGGCTGTTTGGGAACTGGCGGCCTTCCTGCTCCGGTGGGGCTAGCAGGTGTGGCCCACCTCTCCAGGCCTCAGACTTGCTGGCCCCAAGGAGATAGGGTCTGCGCTTCCCTGTCTCCTGGCAACAGGGGCTGGGCCAGCCTCTTGAAATGGCTGCAGTTTCCAGGCCCTTCTGCATCAGGGGGATGCTCTGAGCTCCTCTGCCAGATGGGATGTTTCCGGCATGATGGATGTCCACGGTACTTTTGTGGACACGTGTCCTGCTTGCAGCGTAGGGTCTACAGTGGAAAGTAGCCTGGAAGATAGCAGGGGACACCCCACTCTGTGCTGATCACCCCATATGATAGACGGCTCAGTCAGCTCTTTAGGAACTGGGTCAGTCACTCTCAGGTGGAGTGAATTCATGCCGTTTTCTGAGCTGGGCGTCTCCAGGGCCGGTGACATGTCTGCTGTGTGCAGGCAGGTGGGGCTGTTTGACCACACTCCCTTAAGACTCAGCAAAGGTGGGGGAAGTGGACTTTCTGGAGCAGATTCGAGGGGTGTCAGGGACAAGGCTTGCTGACTTTGGGGAGCTGGGGAGGGTCAGCAGCGCTGACTTAATTTCCTCCATGGCTTCTGGGAGCAGTAAGCAGGGATGGCAGGCACCAGGTCTTATTTCTGACACTGAGAAGAGGGACTCTGGCTGACTCTGGCTCCCCCTGCCTGGCCTCCCCAAACTTAAGAGTGGCTGACTGTCTCTGGGGACTGTGGCCGTGGGCTCCAGCCTAGGTGACGGGAAGGGGCTAGGAAGGCCGAGGGCCAGGATAATTCCCTAATTTATGGTTGCCCCACGCCAGTGCAGGTCCAAGTACAGCTGCAGGTCAGTCTGCCTGTCTGCCCTGAGGCAGGGCTCTGGCCCTTCTCTGTCCCAGCCTGAGACCCCGGGGCCCCAGGCTCACTGCCAGCCACTGTGCTGCACAGCTGTCTCTCCATCCCCCACGTGGGCGAGCGTGCCAGGTCCTCTTGGCTCCCTGGGCGGACAGAACAATGCCCTGGAGCCAGAGCTGAGGAGGACAGCGTGTGGGGGACGCCAGGGCCCGGCAGGACCCAGATGTCGTCCTCTTGCCACAGCCCAGCAGGAAAGAGAGGCTGTGAGGTGAGGCTGTGCTGAGGTGACCTCAGGTGCCCAGGCCTCTCTGGTCCCTTTGCTAGTCCCGTGCACCACGGCGTCCAAGCCAGGCCTCCACCCCACCCCTGGCTTCTCAGAAGACCAAAGGGACGCAGCAGAAGGGGTAGGGAAGGAGACTTGGATGCTCAAGTGGGCAATTTTATTAAAAAACTAAACAAAAGAGAAACAAATCAAAACACCACACAGAAGTTCCCCAGGAGGGAGGTCCCCGGGAGGGGGTCCCCGGCAGCAGGCGGCGCTCCACCTAAGCTTCCTGCTGCTGTACAAAGGGGTTGGGGATGGCCTCCATGCCGTCCTGCGGGCAGATGAGCACCACGGAGGTGCCACGGCAGACCACGAGCCCCAGCTGCCGCGTATCCTCCGTCAGCTTGTACTGGTCATCGGGGTCTGGGGGGTTGACAGACAAGAGGAACTGAAGACATGCCCTTTCCCCCAGCGTCCCACAACCAGACCTCACGGGGGCTGTCCCGTCTCCTGAAGCTCTTTTGGGGACGGGCAGACCCCGGCACTCGGGTCTCAGAGCTGACTGAGGACATGGGTACCTGGACTCTATAAGAACCCTAAAGGGCAGATGCTCACCCCATAAACACCAAGGGGTGGTCTGCGGGGGAAGCAGAGGCCCCAGAGAGGGTGGACAGGAGGTAGAAATGGAGAACGATTAGGAGGTAATTGTCATGGGTACTGGGAGGGGACGCTCTGTGGGTGTTACGGGCATTATTCTGGAATGAGCTGAGACCCTATGGGCCCAGAGCCACCGACACAGGCAGACATTCCAGAGAGAGGTCGGTGTCCCGGCGTCCCCAGGAGGGCTGAGGGGAATGAGCCGGGAGTCTCAAGCCTGGGGCCATCAGAGCAGGCTTGTCACCTTTCTGGCAGTCAGGGACGGTCCTGCACCCCAGCCTGCCCCCTACGTCACCACCTGCCGCAATGTGACCCCACAGGGGTGGAGCAGGAACAGGGCCTGGTGGCGTCCCCACAACCACAGCTCACCTCGCATGTACTCGATGGTCCCGTCCAGCACCAGGTTGAGCAGTGGGTCAAATCCTTTCAGGATCCCGCTGGCTTGAGGAATATGGGGAGGAGAGGGATGGGAGGATGATGTCACTGTCCTCCTGCTGCAGACCCAGGCATGGGGACAGTTCAGGGACAGCTGCCACTACAGAACTCATGGGGGTGTGTGTCCCTGTGTGGTGGCTGGTGACTGTGACTCCAGCCCTCTTCTGTCCAGTGTGGAAGGGCCACAGATAGAGTTCATGGTGGGCCAAGTGTTAATAAAACGCGTGCTCCCCCAAACTGAATTCTGCACTTTCCATGTAACACAAAATAGCTTTTTTTTTTTTTTTTTGGTCCTGAGAGGGTCTCATTTGCCCAGGCTGGCCTCAGACTCACTAGGCAGCCGGAAAATAACCCTGAATTCCCCCAATCCTGCCTTTACCTCCCTAGTGTTGGGACAGCAGACTCGTACAACCACGCCTGGTCTACATGGTGCTGGGAATGAAACCCAAGGCTTCATGCACGCTAAACCAGTGCTCTGCCCGCTGAGCTAGCCTCAGCCCTGGCTGAGTTTTGGAGACACGGTCTTGTCTATGTCAAGCTCAGACTGGCCCGGGAAACCTCCTGGGTCACTTCTGCCTCCAGGCTCCTGAGGGGACTCCTTCCTTCCATCTTTCCATTCCCTCCTCCTCTGTCCCCACAGTGTTCCGGTCTCTTTCTTCAGGATCTACCAATAATGGTCTGGGTGCTACCCCACCTGGCTCTCTCTCCCTGAGACTCAGTTTCCCCATTCACAATGGGGCCTACTGGTACCTCTCAATGTTACGGCATGGCCCAAGCTTTGCCCTTGTTAAGAGTTAAAATGCCTGCCCTGTGTGGCTTCCCACGCTCGCCGTGACCCCGATTCTGTCTTAGGGAGCACTCACCTTCCCGGCCACCCTGGAACTTCACTCGGATGGTCTTGTCAATGTACTTAGACAGGTCCAAGATGCTCTCTTTCTTCTTCTTCTCTTTGTCCTGCTGGAGAGTGGTGGAGCTGAGGAATGAGGCCCAGTCTTCCTACATCCCTGTTGCCTGGAGCCGGCACCCAGGGACTCCTTTCCACCACAGCCCCATCTGCACCCTCATTTCCACCTCCCACGCCCTGCTAACTGAATCCTACCTCCCTGAATCTGCAGCTCTGATTCTATCCCCATGTCCTTCTGTTTGCATCCCCATGTCCCGCATCTGCATCTCTGTTCCCCACCTGTATCCCCCGTCCCCCGTCTGCATCCCCGTCCCCCGTCTGCA